TAGTAAAACACTGTTCAGGTAAAAAAAAAAAAAAAACCCAACAAACTATGTCTGTGATACCTACCACCTTAGCAATTACTAATCATTACTTTCCAGATATCAGATCAAAAAATGCAATAGGCCACCTGTGAAACACCCATATGCCAATTAATACTGAAACTTTGTCTTTGTGCTGAAATGATTATCCAGGTTCCCTATAAAACTTCTCACTATGTTCTGGCTGTAGAGGGTAATGAAATATTTAAGGCAAATTGGGCTGCTCATCTGAAACACCAACATGGATTAACCTTTTAAAAATCTAAGTCATTAAACACTTTCCTTTTGTGGTAAAACTCCATCTTTCAGATTAATGCAACATTACACTCCAGCTGAATCCATCTTAAAACCTGGTGCCAGAGAGGTGAGAGGAGCAGTAGTCTATTCTGGTGTGCAGAGCACATGCTGAAGAACTGGATGTGGGTGACGACACAGCCAGACCTTTCCAGCCTGTTCCCCGAGATCAGACACCAGTGCTGCTAAGAAATACTCTTGTTCTTTATTTGTTAATAAAAATCCATTTTACCAAATCTAAAAGGTGCATGTCACCGCTCCGAACATCCTTCCCAGGGCTCAGGAGGAGGCCAAAACATCTGCAAAAACACAAATATTTAATCCATAAAAAATTAGTATTACACTTCAGGCACAAGCTGCTAACACCTCCCGCAAAACACCCCATTTATGTACATCTCTGCCTGTGTATCACACTGGGCCTTTGGACACTACAAAAGAGCCTGATTGGATACCAACATAGAGCTTGTAGAGCACAGTTTTGTGAACTGGTTTAATTACATGGTTCTCTTGTATCTACAGTGGCCCAGGAAGTTATTTAAGAATCTTCCCTGAAGGAACAGCACAAACGTAGCTGTGACTAACAAGGTTAGCTGATTGACCAAGGCCTTGTTTAGTGGCTTCCTCTATCTCATTTTCTATTACTAGGGATATTTGCATAAGGAACTTTCTATATGCTTCCAAGACAGACAACGACCACAGGGCCCCGGCCCCGGCCCAGCACCTCCCTATTTTCCCGGACATGTTCGGCTTTTTGGGATTTCCCTCCGGACGGGGATTTGAGGCCCAAAAAGCCGGACATGTCCGGGAAAATCTGGACGTATGGTAACCCTAAGTAACAATATTTAGGGCTGGAGTACCAGACTTGGCTTTATCTTCTTTCTGTTTGCATAACAACCTCAATTTGTTGCATTTCATTTCAGACTGCAAATTCCACAGAGCAGAAACCCTGCCCTACTCTGTAGTATGAACAGTGCTGAGTAGACTGTCAGTGCTGAGATAAAGAATATATCTCCTTCTGGTCAATGGAAGGTGTAAGATTTCCTCCCCCTCTCCACTTTACATTCTAGACCGGGACGGGCAAACTTTTTGGCCTGAGGGCCACATCGAGTTTCTGAAATTGTATGGAGGGCCAGGCATACAGCCAGGCATGGCCCAGCCCCCGCCCCTTATCCGCGCCCCCCCCCCCCACTTCTCACCCCAACCACCTCCCCTCCCCCGGGACTCCTGCCCCATCTAACCTGCCCTGTTCCCTGACAGCCCCATTGCCCCATCCACCCCTCCCTGTCCTGACTGCCCACTGCCACCCCATCCAACCCCTCCTCATTCCTGACAGTCCCCATCCCCCCCTCCCCCCCGGACCCCTGCCGCATCCAACCATCCCTTCTCCCTAACCGCCCCCAGAACCCCTTCTCCTGACTGCCCCCCACTGTCCTGTCCAACCCCCACCCTCCTTCCTGACTGGCCCCCGGGGACCCCTGCCCCCATTCAACCCCCCTGTTGCCTGCCTTCTGACCACCCCGACCCCTATCCACACCCCCGCCCCCGACCACCACCCCGAACTCCCCTGCCCTCTATCCTGCTCCCTGCTCCCTTACCGTGCTGCCTGGAGCACCGGTGGCTGGTGGCACTACAGGACAGGCAGCTGTGCTGCCCGGCTGGAGCCATCCATGCCACCGCGCACCACAGAGCACTGGGTCAGGCCGGGCTCTGCAGCTGCGCTGCCTGGCAAGAGCTCACAGCTCCGCTGCCCGGCGCATTGCACCAGTGGCGCAGTGAGCTGAGGCTGCAGGGGAGGGGGAACAGTAGGGGAGGGGCTAGCCTCCTGGGCCAGGAGATCAGGGGCCGGGCAGGAGGGTCCTGCGGCCCAGATATGGCCCTCAGGCCGTAGTTTGCCCACCTCTGTTCTAGACCATGGCAGATTCAGAATATATGTAGTGCAGTATATAAGGTGCACAGACACTACAGGGATGAGTAAATACCCAAGTTATGCCACCACTGATGTTACTATAAACCCAGATTTATGTATTTTTAAACAACTCTAAAATGGACCACCATGCACTCTCAGAGTCCAGGATCTTTCCATCCATGACCTGAAGAGGCTGGTTATTTATGAAGAACAATAAGAGAGACTACAGAATGGTCTACATAACAGACAACAGGCTCCAAAATTCTGTTTTTTCAAAACAATTTTTTTTCTGGGTCCCTTGAAATTCAAGTAGTATTTAACATTCCCCACATGCAAAAAATAATATTTAAACAAAGAATCAGGTAACATAAAATAGGAGAAATACTTTACATGCAAATTTAAAAAAAAAAACTCATATACAAAGGGTGTTCATCAGAGATGTGGGCCCCAGTCCTACAACTGGATTTGTGTGGGCGGATCACTGAGAATGTGTCCACCCACATAGATCCGATTGCAGGATGGGGACCTTGGTGAGATGCAGCCCAGAAGATGTTCGTATACTCAAATTACAAGCTCATAAAAACAGGTGTTGATAGAGAGATTACTGATCTGCTGCCTTGGAACTAGGAACAATGTAACTAAATAGGACATGGTTAAAGAATTCAAAACACAGGGTTACCTCTCAATGGCAAGTTCTTTATTAGTTGTCTGTTGGACGTAAATCACAATCTTCTTATCAATTCCTTGGCGGAGCTTAAAGCATTGTCTGTCCTTGTCTTTGGGAACTGCACTGTTATTTACAAGAAGGGGGGAAAACTCAGATCATTATTTATCTGTATTCCTCCTTTCAATAAATCAAAACAGCATCAGACATTTGGTGAAGTCAGCTTTGTATACAAATGCACTCAGACCTTTCTTCCTTGCCCACTACAGTCAGTAACAGAACAGAGATGGCAATATAATCAGGAGAGGGTACTCCCTTGGGCTTTGAAATTAACTAACATAACTCTTTGTATTATGTAATTTGTTCTTGGATACTTTCAACGGCATTTAGACAAGGGGTTTTAAAATACTGAGGTTTAAAGCAATTTCATTACATATTAGAAACTGTGAATCACCCCATGTGCACAATGTGGCAGTAGGGCCTTTGGAAGCATGTAATAAGCACCTGAGCAAAGAAAAAGCCCTTAGCATTCTACCTTAGATTTGTATTTTTCTAGCCAGTTTTACTTCAGCTAGATACTGAGAAGGGCTTCTTCTCCTAAATGCTTACCAGAGCACTGGACAGCCTGCTGATGTGGGAGCAGGCAGCACTGTGCTAAATGGCCAACCTGGATATCGAAGTGATATAACTGGGGCTGCTTGGTGAACAGTTGTTGGAGGGAACTGATGAACCGTTGGTTTCCACCATACACAAGTCCATGTTCCTCTGAGAGTAGCATTAATCTCTTGCCTCCTTTTATTTTATTTAAGTCTTTAGATTAAAGACCGAGAAGAGAGACAGGCTATGTAAACACAAAACAAGTACAGCTCAGCATTTATCTGAGTGGTCTTATAAGGAACAGCATGGAGCGTCTAACACCAAGTGCTTAAAACTTAACAATGATTTGCACAGCCACGTGTGCATGCACATAACATACAAAGGAGTCAAATCGCCCTGTCCTTTGAAGCTTTCAGATCTTGCAACTAAATAAGGTTGAGGTTGCACAATGTCTGAGTGGGAGACCACCAAGAAATACCTATGAGGTGGCGATTAAACAACAGACACGACCCTCTGAGCCCAACTGCTCTGGCATGATAATTCTGGTGATGTTCTCTTTCACTGGAGATTTAAAACTGACATTCTAATCACATATGGTCATTACAGATCTCACTGACTCTCTTTAAGCAAAAGAATAGTAGTATTAATCCAAGTGCCCAGACTGGGCTAATTACATTCTGCTCCCTCCATACCACTCCCAAACAGCTAAGTTGGGTAAGATTTCCTCTTTCACTTCCTTTTCCTAAAGTAAGGTTGCTATGAGGTGTTAAAATAGCTGCTGTATTCCACCCCAGGGGAAGCTGCATTTCTGTAGCTAAAAAGATCCTTGCATAGGGCCTGACCCTGAGAGGGGTTCAGGCCCTGAATTTGTACATCAGTTTGTTACATTTGAGCAGTGCTTTAGATGTTCCCAGATGGAAGATGCCGTAATAAAAGGAAGAGGAAAGGGAATTTGTTTTTAAACACTTCCACTGGACATAAATCCAAGAAGAGAAACATCTCTATGCCTATGGTCAGCAGCCAAACTGCTCTACAACTCCAAGAGCATATGGCAGTCGTGCTACTCTGAGAACAAGGCAACTCAACAATTATAAAATACTATAAATGGTTACATAAAACATTTGACGGCACTGTGTGTGGACTAACCAGAAACTGAAAAAGGCCTTTGAGGGATCAAGATTATCCAGTGTCATAAACAGTGGCAGTCTTTAGAACTGCTACATTGTCTGTGGATATAGGAACACACACAAAATCCAGTAACACTTGGATTAGAAGACAGAACAAAATTAGCTGTCTTTGAGAACCAGAACACAGAGGACAAGCATTTAGAAATAGATGCAAGCTCCATTTACAAGGTTATAATTAAATATTTGCAGCTGGTAGAGAAATTTAGCTGCATAAATCACAAGCAGAGATTTGAATTTCAATTAAATGGATCACATGACAGGGATGAGTTGTTAACATTTGAGCCCTTTGATAATGAATTTTAATTCAGCCTCCTTCCCTCCTGCTTCCCCATAAAAAATGCTGGGACCAATCCTGAGGAAGTCCCTGAGAAGCCAACAAGAGCATAGGAACTTTACCTCTCTCTTGTGTAGACTTTTGGGCTCAGGCTGGAGACCAAGCTCTGAGACCACGCAAACGGGGAGGGTCCCAGAGCCCGGGCTCCAGACCAGCATCTACACAGCAATGTTTAGCCTCGCAGCCCTAGCCCTATTGAATAACAATCTGTATAGAAATATATTCCCTGTTGGGTGGTTGATTTTTGATACCAGGTGGTGCTGCAGTGCTACCTCTTCAGAGATGAAGTAGTGAAAGAGGCATACGTTACCAGATGGGAATGGGGGCAAGGAACACATTTTTGTGCCATTTTGGTATAGTAATTTGGGCAGGGGTTTGTGGTCTTGGTCATCGGGCTAATGAAGCACTACCACCACCCTAACTATTCACCACATGGTACAGTATCTTTGTGACAAGAAACTTTGTCAGGATAATCTCAGCATCACATGGAGAGTAATTTCCATTTTTTCAGTTCAGTTGCATGCTTTTGAAAATTCTGTTCTGTTTTCTGGGTTACTAGATAAATGTGTTGGTGCACTAATAAAAATACTGAAAACCTGCAACCAAGCAGACGGGATATCTGAGTATCAGAGAATAAGCCTTCTAAATACTGCCATCCTCACCTCTGGTCTCTGATGAATTTTGAGCATGAAAGCCCTTGTTTGCCACAAGCCCTCTCTGATGTATCTTGCAAAGTTAAGTCCAGCTACTTTTCTGATTTATCCAGACCCAAGGTTTCATGTCAGGTGGACAGAGTGGGTTTAAAAACTTTAGTAAAGCACACTGATGGCAGTTGATGTGTCATGTCCTTTCCATCTTTTTTGAGGGGAGCTTTATGTGAAGTGTATCGCCAGATTTTCAAAAGGTGTTTAATACCTGCTGCTCCCACTGACTCTAGCAGGATCTATGGTGCTTAGCACCTCTGAAAATCTGACAAGTAATATTTGATACTAGAATTTAAATGTTACGTGTTTAGTCTCAGCCATGACACTGCTGAATGCAATTAGCTGCTTTGCACACAGCGTTTTAAAGACAAAAGAGATATATAAAAATACCGAAACCACTTGGCAGATGGCCTCAGACTCAATGCAACGAAAACTATAACAACAAAAAGAAGAGTCCAACAGGAGGGTCCTGAGCAAAGTAAGATAATCCAGAAATAAATCACTGCTTTATTTAGCAAAAATGCCTACACCCGGGACTGGTTTACTCTACAGTATGAACTCTTCAAAAGGAGAATTTAGGGGTAAGCCTTCACCACGTTTTTTCCCCTCCAGCCACCCTCCAACACTAGACCCAGCTGATGGATAAGTAGAAATCAGGAAGCAATACCTGAAATAACCTTTCCCATCATCTTCCTTGATTTCCAGGGATACAGAGAATGTGAAAATATCGCTGTCTGGAGTCTGTGGGGCTTCAGTGGCTGAGAGCGGAGTCTGTTTGGCAGAACGGCGGAAGGCAGTGGCAAAACTGTACAGTATTCGACTCACCTGCAATCATACATAACAGAGAGATTAGAAAAGGTTCAAGTAGGATTACTACCTGTGTTTTTGTTAACCAGTGGGATGAAAAAATATTGTGCAAGAATATGCAGATAGTACCAGAATATAAGATAAAATAGTAAATGTGCATGCTGTCACCTCATGGTTGCAATTTCTATGCATTTACCAACGCCTGAGTTATGAAGAGACCATTTTTCATAACATTTCGCAATGCCTTGAGTGATTATTTCACAAGTTATGGAAATAATCATACTCTGATTCTCTAATGCATAAGTAGTAATTTATCTATTTAAAGGCTCTGAAAGGTTTCTAAAAATAGCATTGTGGGGCTAGCTAGATGTTTATCATCTCAATGATTCTGTATCAAATCTGCTCATTTTGTATGGCAAGATTATTTTTTCCTAAGGATCTGCCTACATACAGAAGTTGCACAGATTTAACTAAGGGTGTGCACTGATTTAGTCAAACTGGTGGTACTTTTTAAGCATATACTCTTGCATCAGTTTAACAAAAGGTGTGATATTACACTGTCTTAGTTATGCTGGTATAACACTGCATGCATACCTCCTTGCACCAGTTTAAATCTGGTTTACACCAATTTAGCCTGCTCCTGTTATGCAAACGGTTAGGGCAAGCTAACCTGATGTAAACCTGGTTCAAACTGATGCAAAAATACACACACAATGTAGCACCAGTTTAACTTTTGTGATATCACACCTTTAGTTAAACTGATGCAACTGGGTGTGTAAACAAGACCCAACTGCCTGCTCCACAAATTCTCTGTGTGTTCTTTCTGGCCTGCACTACAACAACAGAGATTCTGCAATTGAAATTTGATTAGTGTGTTTGCTACTGTTCAAGCCCAGAGTAGACTGTCTCATTCTCCCAGAGCTGTGTTGGCTCTGCAGGGTTAAAAGGAAAAGGCAGGTTTCAGAATATCCTCCAGGAGCTCGACAAATCTGCAAGACCATATTTATGAGGTTCCTTTTTCAACTATAACCACAGTGCCCTGCACACTGCAGCAAGCGTCACCTAAAATCTGCATCTCCCTGGTGGAAATTCTAGGGTAGCGTCAGATGCAGTATTAATTTTAATATTATTAAATTTTACTTTTAATGCAATGAAACCTATGCATTAGCCCTTGTTATACTTTTTTTATATTAAATGGAGATTGTTTTGCATTATCTTCACATTTTCAGTTTTTTATATGGTGTAAATTTTTAGTAATGATAGTGAATATCTACAGCCTAGAAGCTGTCAAGGGGCAGGTAAAGGTTAGCAGCTGGGAAGGTGAGACACACATGTGGTTTTGTGGAATATACACAAGTTATTTCTGCTAAAATGATCAGCAGTGAAGCAGTTAATGCTGACATTGAAAACTATTCTCTTTTGCTTTCACCCTACTGGATAATTCACACTCTTCAGAGATATTTTTTCAGGCTGTCTGCAAACTCAGGCAGCTGTCACTGCCTCAGACTGCACTTAATTCAGATTGAGTTTTCTTTGTAATCATAAAGTGTTGAAAAACTTTAAATGAAAGTTTAGATTTTGGAGCACAATTATTCAGCCAGGGGTGAATTACACAGCTGTAGAATTATGGAAAACATGGAATCATAGAAACGTAGGTCCTTGGAAGGGACCTTGAGAAGTCATCAAGTCCAGCCCTCTGCACTGAGGCAGGACCACGTAACCCTAGATGACCTCTGATGGGTATTTGTCCAACCTGTTTTAAAAAAATGTCCAGTTACTGGGATTCCCCTTTTAGAAGCCTTATCTACCCTTATGGTTAGATATTAGCTTTCCTAATATCTAACCTAAATCTCCCTGTGACCCGAACAGCACACCAATGCCAGTTGGCATACGTCTGTCACGATATTTACATAAAAGTTGACATATAAATATATCATTGGAATACTAATAATTCACTGATCATTAATATTCTGATGTGATGTATATACAGTAAACCCACAAAGAACTTCATAGATATGCTGGAAATATGTGACTAAAAAGCGTTCAAACCAGAAATATCGGGGGAAGTTGATAAACAAGTTTTCTCCAGACAAAGGAAAGAGGCTAATACCTCAAACCAGGTGTGGCCAAATTCAATAGGTTATTCTTTTGTACAGGTATCCGAGGTTGCAGGAAGAGAACATTTGCATTGTAAAAAGCAGGGGAGGAACCAGCAGGGAGACAGAGTCTAGACCAGACAGCATGGCATCTATACCTTGCAGGGAAAAAACTAACTTTATTGGGGGATACTCTTCACTCAGAAGAATGTCTTTCAAAGATTTACTGGACCATAAAGAGCAGGGAGAGAATCCTTAAGTTATCCTTCATCTGAGAAAACAAATCTACCCAGCACTCTGAGCTCTGTGAACGGTCCTGCCAGAGAGTCTGGTCAGCCGTGCTGGAAAAAAAACACTTGGTAAGAAACACTTCTGCAAAAAGAGACTCGTTTGTTAAATCAGGTTTTAGTCTTAGAAGCATATTTTCACTTTTGTTTGCTCATAACCTTTTCTAGCTTTATTCCTTATATGTGGTACCACTTAAACCTAAGTCTTTTTGTTTAATCAACTTGTTTTACTATAAACCAATTCAGTGCTTTGATTAAAATGGTGTGTTTGTTAACCCCAGCTGAGGTAATAAGCTGCTGGGTATTGTCTTTTAAAGGGAGGCACAAGCAAATTCTGAGCATTCAGTGACAGGGCTGTGCATAGCAGATAGATTTGGGAGTTGAAGTTCACTGACTGTTACCTACTAGGCAAGATTTGGGCTGGCAGAGCCCTGAAGTTTGCTTATAAGGCAAACAAGCTGATGGGTCAGAGAGCTGTCTTACAGCTTAGCAGTAGCTGTCACTTGAGGCTGAGAGGGGTAACAGTGACTTACAGTTTTGGGAACCCCGCAAATTAAGGCACTCCCCCTTGCTGCATATTAAGCCCATTACTTCTTGTCCTACTTTCAATGGACATGGAGAACAAATGATAACAGTCTTCAACTATGAAGAAGACCGGTGATCAGATACCCCCTCAGTCTTCTTTTCTCAAGTCTAAATATGCCCAGTTTTTTTTTATTTTTCCTCACAGGTCAGGATTTCTAAACTTTCAATCACTTTTGTTGCTCTCCTCTGGACTCTCCAATTTATTCGCATCTTTTCTGAAGTGTGGTGCCCAGAACTGCACTCTCTATTCCAGCTGAAGCCTCACTAGTGCTGGCTAGAGCAGGATAATTACCTCCTGTATCTTACATACAACACTTATGTGAACACACTCCATAATGACATTAACCTTTTTTGCAACTCCATCACACTTTTGACTCATTCAGTTTGTGATCCACTATAATCCCTATGTGATCCCTATAACATGAGACCCTGATTACATGAGACACTTTAATAAGACTTAAAAGCAACATAAATTTAAATTGAAGAATAAGTTTCATTTGTTGCTGTTAGGACCAAATTCTTAAATCAGATGTTCAATCTCACTGATGTTAACGAGAGTTATGAGTTCTGGGAGTGTAGTTGGTCCAAAAGAGATTTACGAAGTGTTGCTGGGATATGCTCTTAACACCAGTAAGGTCAAGAAATAATTCAACTTACAGCTTCTTGAATTTCACATCGGAAGACATGAATCCTGAACAGTTCTGCATTGTAGTGGCTTTCAGTGAAAGCAAAGCAGTCACTCTCGGGAGTCCCATCATGCCCTCGCACACAGAAGAGAATTTTATAGATTGGATAATTTGCTATTTCTGTGTGTGTTTGAGGATCTAAGAGCCTAGTTTAAAAAAAAAAAAAAGTAAAGTAAAGTTTTGGGCTTTACAAGGATTACTTTGGCCAACCATTTATTCGTGAGGTTGAAGGATTCCACTGATATTTAGAGAAAGTACGATACATAGACCCTATCCCCAATTGTCATTTATCTCAAGGTATTAATTATATGTGAAATACTGACCCATCTCCAACCCCTGTGTAAATGCCCCTCTCCCCCAACAGAGGGCAGTCAGTCAGCATTAAAATGGAATCCTATTAAATGGGCCAGGTATTTCCATCTTGCCTGAACCACTTTACTCTGAGGTGATGGGACAGGGAAGAAAAGCAGTGCTGGATTTGAATGTAAGTTATTTGTCTGACTTTTTTTTCCCCTTATGCCTAAGGGAAAAAGTGCAGGTACCTGAAGTGCAAGACTCTTATGTCTATAATTTCCCTACAAAAGCTCAGACCTTCCCATTCAGAAAGCTGACCTAACCTACAGCAGTTCACACACATATTTCAGGTCACATAATTCTCCCATTCTCACAATAGCCCTTACCTGTCCTTCTGTGGCATTCTTTGGGGAGGACGACTACAGCCTGCTCCCCGCCTGAGACTTTGCACATGAACAGTTTTACAGTCCTGGCTCTGCCTCCCCTGGGATTAGAATTTAGGCCTTGGCTATGCTTGGGACTTCACAGCGCTGCCGCGGCAGCTCTGTGAAGCGCGAGTGTAGTCGCGCCGCCAGCGCTACAAGAGAGCTCTCGCAGCACTGTATGTACTCCACCTCTCCGAGGGGAATAGCTTGCAGCGCTGTGAGCGAGCGTGCAGCGCTACAGGCTCTGATTACACTGGCGCTTTACAGCGCTGTACTCGCTGCGCTCAGAGGGGTGCGTTTTCACACCCCTGAGGGCAGCAAGTTGCAGCGCTGTACACCGCCAGTGTAGCCAAGGCCTCAGACTCTATTTCCAAGGCACCAGTAAGTAACTGCCCCAGCTATGATTTCCAAGACAATTCAGATATTAAAGAAGATTCTGTGCTGCCCCTTGTACATGAGAAGTTCTTTACAAACTGATCTGTAAGGCCACTTGACCTTCTCTTCTTTAAAATCCCTCAAGACCCACTTCTGCCACATTTAAAAGAAATCCCAGGTTGCTCATATCTCCTCCTAATTGTGATTGGTCGCTCGCTCTCCTTTGACAGATGGAACTGATCAGACTGACTGCAACAGACTCCAGAGAGTCCCTGAATGAGCTTCATACCTCACGGTTCCTTCAGACACATTAGGCACTGACAGGGTCACATCTAAAGAAATCTGGCACTGGCTTCGTAAGATAGACATCATTCTCAGGGCTTCCACTTCGCTCCTGGGGGCGTTCACTGAGGCGCAGCCCAAGTAGGTAAGCTTGCTGAACACCACACTGTCCTCATCTGCCACTGGGGTAAAAGGGCTCGACTCCTCACAATCTGCAACAAGGCACAAAGTGACAAATGAAGAGGCAAGCCAGCTGGTACATGTTAGTAAGCTTCAAGGCAGGCCTCCCAATAACCAGGGGTCTGGAACCATGCAACGACATTCATAGAATCATAGAAACATAGGGAAGGAAGGGACCTTGAGAAGTAATCAAGTGCAGATTCCTGCGCTGTGGCAGGGCCAAGTAAACCTAGACCATGTTGGACAGGTGTTTGTCCAGGCTGTTTTTAAAACTTCCAATGATGGGGATTCTACAACCTTCCTTGGAAGCCTATTCCAGAGCTTAACTACCCTAATAATTAGCAAGTTTTTCCTAATACCTAACCTAAACCTCCCTTGATTCAGATTAATTCCATTACTTCTTGTTTTACCTTCAGTAGTCATGGAGAACAATTGATCACCATCCTCTTTATAACAGCCCTTAACATATTTGACTACTCTTATCAGCCTTCCCCCACCCCCTTCTTTTCTCAAGACTAAACATGCCCTTTTTAAAAAACCTTTCCTCATAGGTCAGGCTGTCTAAACCTTTTATCATGTTTGCTGCTCTCCTCTGGACTCTCCCCAATTTGTCCACATCCTCCCTATAATGTGGTACCCAGAATCGGACACAGCCCTTCAGCTGAAGCCTCACCAGTGCTGAGTAGAGCGGGACAATTACCTCCCGTGTCTGATATAGGACACTTTTGTTAATACGCTCTAGAGTGGTATTAGCCTTTTTGGCAGCTGCTTCACATTGCTGACTTGCATTCAATTTGAGATCCACTATAACCCCCCCCACCCCCCGACTCTTTTCAGCAGTACTACTGCCTAGCTATTATCCCTCATTTTGTAGTTGTGATTTGATTTTTCCTTTCTATGTACTTTGCACTTCTCTTTATTGAATTTCATCTTGTTGAATTCAGACCAATTTTTTAATTTGTCATGGTCGTTTCAAATTCTAATCCTGTCCTCCAAAGTGCTTGCAACCCTTCCCAGGTTGGTGTCACTTGTAAATTTTATAAGCATAGTCTCCACTTCACTATCCAAGATATTAACGAAAATATTAATAGTACCAGACCCAGGACTGACACTTGTGGGACCCCACTAGATACGCCCTCCCAGTCTGACAGTGAGCCATCAATAACTGTTTTTTTGAGCATGGTCTTTCAACTAGTTGTGCGCCGCCTTATAGTAATTTCATCTAGACATTACAAAAAGCCAGGACAGACTAAAATGGATATGGAAAGCCCATGATTAGAAATGGAAAGAGAGCTATCCAAGCTCTTAAGATTGACTCTCTCCATAGGGGTACCCTCTAGCATCCTGTCCGAATGCATTCATTTTCACCAGGACAGTAAAAGTCATAGGCATTCTAACTGGACCAATTTACCAGGCAGCACATGTTTAAAGCACTCACCGTGGTCACACTGTGATCTAACCACTATTTTCCTTCAGGATAGGGGTTTCTAAACTTTATCCATAGTTTGAATAATATCTTAAATGATCTCATGGGCCACCTCCCCTCCCAGTGGGAATCACATGACATCCCTCTGGCAACTACAACATTACTCAGACAGAAAAGTGATATCAGAAGTGTACTTTTAAATTCTTTTAATGCTATTTCGCAGCTAAAAATAAGAATGAGGAAGCTTGAGTTGGGAGAGAATTTTACTGGGGATCATTTAAAAGAGAGACAGAGAGAGACCGCATGCTAGCACTTAGAACTATTTATTGAATTCACAAATTTTGTGCAAACACATTTTATAAGCCTAAACCTTATGAATGAATGCCCATGGGATGGAGCATCTTCACTCTTTATTCTCTGTAGACAAATAAGTTGAGCATCAGACACTTTTCAACATGCATGTGGGTTTTTCAGGTGAGACCGTAAAAATAAGATCTGGCTAAAAAAATTTAAAAAGCACCCAAGTCACTTAAGGATTTTGAAAATTTCACCTCATCTGCTCTGCCATACCTTTTAAGACCCCATGCCAATTTTGTAAGAATAGGGGCTTTAATCCAGTATCTTTAGACAAAGTTCCCTTTCCTCTCACTGTGCCCCAACTGTCTCTTGCCCTCCACCCCAGAAGCAGCTGCATTTCAGTGGTAACATACATATGATGGTGAAGTACTTTGGGATCCCTCTGGGTGAAAGCAGCCAGAACAATGCAATACATTCACCCTGTTCATCTGCATTACAGCACATTGTTTTGAGTAGCTAACTTACTTCTGAAGTAGTAAGTTTGACTATACTATTGATACCATCCTACTATATGAGCAGATGACATGACAAGTGCTTCATACATTGTGCATCATACGTAGAGAAACCCAGAACTTCTGATGGCCGCTAGTAGGTACTCCCCAGTTTTTCTAACCTCCCTGTGTCGGTTTCACTGGCAGGCTCATCTCAGGTTTCTGGAGTCCTGTCATCGACACCGGGTTAATGGTAGAGGATGCCGAAGCCTCAAGAAGGATGGGATCTTCCCCTTCTCCGTCAGTCCTGCTTTCTTCCCCATGTTCCCGGTCACTGGACAGGTCTTCCATGGGTGGATCCATCAGTATATCTTCAAGTTCTTTCTGCAGCTGCTGCTCACTCCCATTCCCTACAATCTAAGAGTCAGAAACACAATCAGGAAGGAAAAAGGATTGTTCAGTTGAAGAAAGACTCACATATAAAGAATTAAAAAATAACTTGCATAAATCCAGACTTGCCACCAGCTACAACTGCACAATCTAAACACACACAACTTAAATGAAAGCCAAACACACAGTAACTGATTTCCCTAGATTTAGTATATGAGTGCTCTTCTTCAGAAACAAAACTGGCCTTGTTTAATACTTCAATATACCTTACAAAGAGATCGGAGAGCAGGAATTACTTGGACATGGGAAAAGAGAGTGAGGTGAGTGCCCTCCAAAACTAGTCAGACAGCATATAAAGTATATGCAAATGAAAGTATTAACAGAAGTTAGTACTATTATGGCTTCTATGGAGGCCTTCAGTGGCAACAGCAAGTGCCTAATATTCGATAAATACACTATGCTGTTCATAAGGAGGCAAAGACCTCTGTCTACTGATAAAATAATGAGATTACATAGGAAGAGGGCTCAGGAGAGGGGAGTCAGAAATAGATTTATACCCTCGGCATCAGAAACAGAAGCCATTTAGGCAAAGTATTAAATGTACATGGTTGTGCTGCTTGCTGACACTGCACCCACTGAGGCCAATGGCAAAGCTTCCATCAACTTAAATGGTGCAACGTCAGAGCCTTGGGTGTTAAGAGGATGGAGCCAGCATTTAGTACTCTGCAGTGGCTAAAGTAGACTGAAAAGCTAGCCAAGGAAGAGGAACACTGCTGGCTCTGATGTCTATAGGGATACAGAGGAGCTCTATGGAATAAGGCTAGAATAGAGGCGCATTATGAGGCACAAGGTGTAAGTGTTGGTGTCCTATACAGCTGTGCTTCCAAAGTGTCTAAAACGTCACACTTCAGGAACTCCTTACGTAATTTACCAATCAGTATCTCTACCTGTCACAATGGTATTTAGATACAGAAGTGATAAGTGTATCACAAATACCACAGAACAGACAAAGGAGATGCAGAAAGCATCTTGAAAGCATTTTGCCAAGTGTCAGCCAATAAAATTTACTAATGTTCTATCACTTAATTTGTTGGTAGCCATCCTTATCCTGTTGGCATTGTACCCCATTTCCATATCATAGCCATCTTTGTTAAGATATTGATGTAAGACACTGCACATAAGCTAGAGTGTCCTGGCTAGTTCAGTGATATCAGATCCCTAGCACCTTTTATTAGTCCTTTTTGTTATAATTTTTTTTTAAATCTTATCGAGAAAAAGGAATCTGGAATTAGTTCTTGTTCTCCTCCTCTCCTTTTTGCTTGGAAACTAGACAGTAAAGCATGGAGAAAGACTCAATGCACACAGAACTCTGCCCAGAACACCACTTACATAAGGAAGTATATAATTCTATCTGCACCATAACCAATGTATCTTAGTGGAATATCAACTCGTCCTGAAAGCTTTTGAAGCAATGGCCTAGGTCCTCAGATTCAAACAGTAACTAAGTCAACCTACAGTCCAGGTAAGACTGTTAAAATAATACACTGAAGCAGATACCAGGAGAGCTTCACATATTACAATTAGAGCCTTGAAATTAAATCTACTATGAGAGTAAGAAAAAATATGAACCGACAATACCTTGTTACATGGATGTTCATATGAGTCTACATGGTACATGCCCTCTAAAGAAAATTACAGTAAAATTCCAAGCAGGAGATATTCACCTTGTTACTGGCTCTCTCATATCACTCAAAGTTATTCCCCGTTGAGCTGTAATTCTGACATACAGCAGCTGCCAGCTGCAGGCTTTCAAGGATCAATCCCCATCCCATCTCCAAATTTCAAAACACTTAAATAAGGAAAAATGGAGAAATCTCAAACCTGTCTAACACCTTCCTCAGACTTTCCACACCTTCACTCGATGATCCCCACAAAACACAGAAATAAATATTACATCTATGTCTGAAAACCTCAAATTGTATAGTAACCGGATGCTTAGGGTTTAAACAGTTTATTGATTTCTTAGCCATTTGTCACACGTGGAAAACAAAAATGAAAATCAACTGCTCTTCCCCCTCTACATTTTGAATTTGGTTCTGATCAAAGGCATCACCTTGACAACTCTGTACTTAAGTTCTCCATCTACAGCGCAGGTGAAGCACGTGCAGGGTCAGGCTAAGCTTTCCACACACTGTGCCTTACGCCTGAACTGACTAGCTCTAACAGCTCATTCAATCCTTGACCTCAATGCTGAGCCTGCCAAAGGGGCCTAACTAGTGCCAACTGTGGTGGCGGTGGCCTCGTTCGTGACCTGACTACCTGTTCGCTAGTCACTGAACCGAGACGTACACCGCATTTTACATACGCCACTGAATACCCTTCCAATGACAAATTTCAATTGTTAGTGACCTGGGCCGCAGCCAAACCAGTGACCTAAGAGGGGGAAAGCTCCAGCTTTCTATAGCACAGTGGTTTTCATCCTTTTCTCATTTGCAGACCCCTAACATTTTGAATGGAGTTGCAGACCCCTTTGGAAATTCAACCTGTGGTCTATGGACCCCTAACATAGAATTCTTAGACTGAAAACTGAATAGAACTCAACTATACATGTTACAGGTGCTCAGCATGGCATTTAACACAGCATGAGAAAGGGCACTAAACTGTGAGCTTCTATGGTAACGACAACACTTCCGGGTTTTGACCTGTAAGTGGGGATATTCACATACTTTTGATTGATCAGAAAAACAGAATGCCTTTTCTGGAATCTGAAACTTTATTTTCATAGTCACCTTTCACAGACCCGTTAGACCAGAGGTCAACTTATTTACCACTGTGTGCAGCTCTCTATGTATGGAGGTGGCCCACAACACAATATATATACTACTTGTATGGCCCAGAGAATATCACATGGGCCGAAGCTGTGTGCTGATTGGGCCGCAAGAGGCCTGCAGGCTGGAACCACTGCCTTAGACATAGTCTTTGGACCCGCAAGGGTACACGGACCATAGGCTGAAAACCACCGCCCCAGCAGATGGTACACAAGGAGTGAAACAAATCAGCAATAAAAGCAACATAGAGCACATGAAACTGAAAGCAGGAAGAATCTAATGAGTATTATTGTAGAGTCCAGGCCAGCACAAAAATCGCCTGGCGCGCCCACAGTCAGGCTGCCGATGCTGTGGAATCACTCAGAGGAGATTTTCAGTACAGTTTCAAGGTTTCTTGCATTTTATCCTGCTCTTTTGCCGGCAGCAAAGGAAAGAAACCATCTCACAGAGACGTGTGGCCTTAGAAACCTCAGTAACTTGTGACTGGCTATGAACGGTCACAGAAGGTAAAGCAAACAAAAGCCAAGGAGATACCTGTGCTCCTCATTCCAAACCATGATTAAAAAAATGGAACAAGAAAAATCAATACACTTGAAACCTGGACACAGGGCGGGACTCTTACAGCTGCATTCAAAAGCCCCTATGTGGTAAATACAACAAACATGCTGTCCAGGGATCAAGATAAAAAACAACAACACTGCCTTAGAGGCAAATTGGAGCCAAGGACAGGAAGATAGTCATTCAATTATGCTTCTAGTGAGCCATGTTCTAGGGATAGTGGGGGTCATTTAAGATGTAACAGTTCTGTAAGTTTGTTGGGAACACACAAATGATCAGTAAGAGGCAACCTCTGAACCCTGACAGAAGTGGGAGTGCAGAAGGGAAAGGCAAAGAGATTAATGATCTGGTAAATGTTTGTCTGTCTGTTCAGGACAGATGCTTTCTCTCATTTTAACAAAAACTGGAGCCCAGCATGATCCCAGAATCGTTAACTATAAGATGTTGCAGCACCACAAAACCCATTTATGTGGGCTTACCATTACCTGTATCCAAAACAAACCAAGAGTAATTTTTATCTACCCCCCGTTACCCTCAGGTGTGTGCACATGCACACACCCCACCAGCCTTCTCTGCTCTCTGGGAGCTAATGTACTGTGCTATTACAAGACACCCATTCTACAGAGTGCTCCAGGAATGGGATTTTTGTAAATTCAATTCATGCCAACTGCCAGCTCACACAAGCAATGTGACGGGGGGGAGGGGGAAGTGTTGACAGCAGAAACAGCTGTTGGGTGGCATTTTTGGCATACACTCAGCAAAAGCACCCCTTTAAATTGTGTGAATCATGTACATCAGCACATATAAAAACCAAAAAAAGTTAATAGTTATGAACAGCTACAGAAAGATACAGGCCATGACTACATTTTCAGGAGCAAATGTATTTTACTGGATTTTATACAAATTTTTACAAAGAAACAAAAATGGCTATTAACTCAGACAGAAGTCTATATCAAAGGAACACAAGATGAAGAGCGCCTCAGGCTCAGTATCTTATGCAGTTCACCAAACAGAGCGTGCAAACAAGCTTAAAACTCAGCAGGATGCGTGGTGAGGAAGCAAGGGAAATAAGATCCACAAACTGCAGTTCTAGAATTACAGAGCAAGAAGAACAATCTGGAACTCAATGCCATTCAGATTTTTTTTTTGATCAATACAAGTTTTTGCCTCCTTTGGTGGCAACATGATGGCAGCTGAACTTAGAGCAGATACAAACAAATGAGATTAGTCATACATCCTGAAACAGTTCTTTATCCCTGAGAAAAGTCTTCTCCCCATTTCTGCCTCTGACACATACAATCTGGGCAATCCCTACTTGGGATTTTTTTTTTTAAATATAGTCAATTTCCATGTGCTGCTGCCATGCAGCTAGATAAGATATATATAAAGTGCCCAACACCGTGTTAACTGCCTCCTCCTGAACCTAGCTTTCACAAGTTCCACAGATAAACAGCCAACTAATACAGTGGAATTGGCTCCTGGAAAGCAAAGTCCATTTTATGGAGGCAGTGGACAGGACTGTTCCCCATCAAGACACTGGAGTTATCCTTCTAATCTTCATTTGTCTTTAGTCCACTGACAGCAAGCAATTGATTTCCATTCATAAAGGCAGCTACAATACCCTCCATTTCCAGTGATAGTTTGTTGTCTCGTTATGCAGAAAGGAGGGGGTTAACTAAAGAAATTCCTGCAGGAATGACTTTGAACTGGGCACCTACTTGCATTAACTAAGGTATAATGTTTCCATTAATCATTCAGATTGCAGTTATAAAGAAACAGCATGCTCTCTCAAAAGACAGAATACAAACGGAAAGGTTCAAGGTGATTCACTTTGTTCGACGACTGTACCCAGCCTTCACCTGGGAATTCATGCTGAAGTTTACTCATGAAACCCAACAAAACTACTGTAATGTTTAGTTCCAGATCAGGAAACAACATAATTCTGTTTGATAATACAAGCCCAAATGTTACTGCACTAAAGATACATATGCGTCCTGAAAATCCAGAAGCATCGAACACCCATAGCTGGGTAATCATTACAACTGCATTAGGAATCCAAACATCTCAACCTTGAAGTGATACTTGCTTCAGAATGAGCCATTTCACATCTCCAAATGTTATTTGGCACTAACAGAGTGGAATGGATTCTCGTAGTCTTCTCTCTTCTGTAGACTCAGATAACCCTCAATAGTTTAAGAAACTGATCAGCTGCCTCTCACATTACTGTTCTTAAGACAAGGACATCTTCTGCGCAGTGTGCTGAAATTCTAAGACTCAGTCGTTACCCAGGCATGTATTCTAAAGCAGACAAGTGAGGCTACTATTCCTATTTTGGAGTTAAATTTCTGGACAGAACCTTGTGGATCATTCAAGGAAGTCTCACTTGTTGATATAATTTTGCAGACTATTCCTTTGCAAGGGGAATTGTCGCTGAATTTTCTGCAGTTGCAATACAATTACATAAATCAATTTTTTCACCAGATGAAAAAGTTCTTAAGGAAAAAGAACTGTTCTTCTACTGAAGGCTGTCTGTTGTGTCATCTATAATAATGCATCCATTAAATGACTACTATAGAGATCAGAAAGGAATTCAAGAAAGCCAAGTAGAGCAGCTGGAGATATAAGAAAGCTGTGGAAAGGCATCAGGAAATCTGCAGTGAAGTCTTTGTTCAGCCTCCCAGCTCCTAGCAGCAAAGAAGAAAACAGTCCCACAGAGGGAATACAAGATTTCTCTCCCCATTTGAAATTTGGATTGGACATTCTTTGTATGACAGATCTAACTGACCTGAGATCTCAAGGTCTCTTACATAGGCAAGCTAATTTTTCCTTCAACTTCCATACAGAACATTCTAACTTAGATCAGCCCTGGAAAAGATCCGCTTTATATTATAATATATGAAAATACAGCTACAGGTGCAAGAGTTTAGAGTTCCCATCATATTTCTATCACCACATTTTAAGGCCATTTTAATGCCCACAGAGTTCACATAACTTGCTCCTGGGCCTGTGTTCTGAGGTCCACATTACATGTCCTGGGTGTTAGGTTTCAGGCTACTTCCAAATTTCTTAGAGAACCTTTCACATTGAGAAACTTTAGTACGTAGTAGAACCAACGAGCAAACTGATGACATATGTGCATTAACAAGGGCTTTCTCCCCTGAAAGCTGCAGTGAAGTTGAAATTCTAACCATCTGAAAATCATAATGTATGATTGTTTCATCTCAAACACTGGGTGACAACTCCAGTGAAGGATTCGGCAAAATGAAAAACCAAGTAGTGATGGTGACAGCACTTATTCAAAACATAAATATCATCTACAATGACAGCAGAAGTAATTCAAAAAATATCAGCAAAGGACATTGATTCTTGAATAAGTTCTCTCTTCTTTCAAGTTTTCAACAACAGAAGTCCCTCTTTAAGCTCTTTTGTGGTTAATTTGGGTTAGAAGAAAGAATGAAGTCGGGTTATGGATTCTTACCTTCAGTCCTGTTTTTTCATCATCACTACCATTATTTGTAGATGGCGTTTCATCCCCTTGCCTGGAAACCAAGACAAAATCTTCACTGTTAAGAGTGGATACCGAGTCTGAAGAGACACTGATTTTTCCAACAGAGACCTTGTCATCCATGACTTAAAAAGGAAGTTCGACTCATGAATGAGATTAAATTTTATATACTCCTGAAAAACAAAAATCATAAAAATACTTATATAGAAGTTTGTGCTTGAAGCTCAAACGTTTCTTTTCAGAAACTCGATGACTATTAAAGATCAACACATCTGACTGCACAGCTAAGTAACAGTTCTCAGTACATCAATGTGCACTCATGGTCCTGGCTTTTCAATTTGCTGTGAAACTCTACTCTGAAAGTGCTGCACTGGTTTCTATAGATCAGAAAATAAAGTTATATTTTGAAGTGTTTCATGATCACCTTTCCCAGTGAAGGCCCATCTACTTTACAAACAGATTCACATCTGAGGAACTGGTTATAACACTTTCATTGTGCAGTGTAGATGGGGCCTAAAATCATACTCCCAAGCAGTGCTTAAGTTCATCTTTTTAAGGAACATGGTTAAGATCTTGTCTACACTGCCAAATGAGAGTTGTAACTAAACCCCAGACACAATACTGTCTGTAGTGTAAAACGGGCTCATGGAGTATGTGCTATGTCTGGTGATGAAAGACATTATTTTAGGGCCAGCATACTTCCAACTATAAACCTAGTCATACATAACCTGGCCTTCCCTTCACCTATGTTCATGTAAATGTCATGCGGGGGTTTTGTAAATATCAGGACAAGCCAATCATGAAATTCGACTCTCAAATAATCTCAACATTATATGATTTAACTCGATATGCTGTACTAGAGATACAATGGACCCCTGAGAGCTCAGCAATATTTTATGCATCTGCACTGACACTTTTGTATTATAAGAATCAGCTCTGGACACCCTACCAAGAAACAGGAAGAACATCATAGGCTGGCTCAGTGCTGCAAGTCAGAGCCAACAGATAGGCTAAAAAAAGTCACAAGGACTGGCACTGAGATACACTTTAGATAAAGGGAACACAAGGTGGAGTTCAACTACACACCTCTAACATCAAAGGTTCCTAGAACACCCGGCTAAAAATAGAAAGCCATGGAACAAAGGGCCAAATTCCTTAGTGAGTCCCTATTACATGCTCATCACAGGAGAACTGGTCTTTACTGACTCCAAAGGATGACCAAACCTGATTTTTTTTTCCATTTCAATTGTGCCCTTTGTCCTGTGGGGAACTGACCTCACTTGGCTGCCAAAATAGCAGCCAAACAATGAGACAACTTGGCACAGATACATTTTTCAAAGTGCACACAGTGGGTACACAACCACCTGAGAGGATTGCTTTTTGACTTGGTGCCCTACAAAGTTCATAAGCCACGCACAGGAGGTACTCTGGAATTAATGTTGGATGGATTTTCAGCATCATTTTAGGCATGAATTTTTAACAGTGAGGATAATTAACCATTGGAACAATTTACCAAGGGTCATGGTGGATTCTCCATCAAAGGCAATTTTAAATCAAAATTGGATTTAAGAAGTGTGTTAGTTCAAAAGGAATTATTTTGGGCAAGTTCTATAGTCTGTCTTATACAGAAGGTTACACTAAATGATTAAAATGATCCCTTCTGGCCTTGGAATCTATGACTCATCCTGCCTGATGAATGGGAATTGTATTGCAGACAACAGTCCTAGCCCACTCCACCAATGGGCTGGCTGCACGCTAGGACTCAATACAGCCAGATGACTACTCCTTACTCTGAGACTGATTTTTTCCTCCAGTGCAAGGAACATCTGAGATTAGAGTAACACAACTTCACCATAAACTTTTACTTCTCCAACTCGTGCAAATATATTGCCTTCTATTTTTTCACAAATGGACTGTACACTTGCTCTTAACCTCTCATGAAACCTTCTCTCTGAGTGCCAAGTATTATTACAGCACATTTTCTTCCAAAGCATACATGCAGACAGTCGTGAAAGTCACTGAAGGAAGGAGCATTGTGTGATTCTCCTTTGAGAAGCATGAAATTCTTAAAAAATGCAACATCCTACACTTGTCATATTCAGACAATTTCACACTTATGAATAAAAAGGCTGCAAACAGCAGCCTAGAAGACAGTTGCTGTTTTTTCAGTACATGGCAAAGGCCTTGCGTATTCCCACAAAGGCTTCTGGGTTTGATTTTTCTTAAACCAAGTTAGAATTTATTGAACTCTACCAAACCTACTGCTGCCATGGAATTAATAAAACTGCCACTCATGACTCTCTGCCCTGTCACTGAACTGAGGGAACAGTGTAAATTTAAGGAAGATTGTAACAGTAAGACATGAAAGATCAATTGGAATATCACATCCATCATCATGTCTAGGAAGGCTTGAGGATGTAGTATATCAGAGTGACCCTTGTTCTTAGAAGCCACACTTTACACAAAGTACACTGCTTCTGGACAAAAACATAAAAGTTTATTCATGAACTTCCTCTCTTCTGACCCACACTGGCCCTACTATCCCCCCTAATCTTATCTGCTCATGTGCAATGTTTTCCTGCTGCTCTATACAATAGGTTTGGAGAAAGTACTTGAAAATACTCTCAAGCCCAGATGATCTCCAAAATTTGCCCAACTAAGGGGCTCCACTGACCCCGTCAGAGGCCCAAGAAGTGCGCTTTATTTACATAACGCAGACAGCAGCCACCTGACTTTAAGATGGGTTGTGGCCCACAGAGAGAACCGGTCCCAGTTTACAATCTTCCACCTTGATCTAAGCAGTCTCGCTCCAGACTGAGACTTGCAGACTTTGCGAACAGCATCTTAATAATGAAGCTGAGGGCAGTGCAGCTGACCATGCTCTAACAGCAGTAGATATAGCAGGGAGAGCTGAGCAGCACAGAGATGCAGATCTGAGGAAAGAACTTTGAGTGACAAGCAAACAGAGAGAAGCAATGAAAGGAGTAAAAGTCTTATTTCTACTGTATTATCTAAGGATGCTTACTAGCAAATACCATAGGATTACTACCAAGGGCTTTCTGATAAACCATCTCAATACTATTTTCACCTATGCCCAGGAAGGAGGACATCAAATTTAGCATCACCTGATGAAAAGATTCCTTTATTACCTTTAAAGCCTTTTCACCTCTATCTGAGCAATACATTTTGCCTTATTTCTGAGTTTTCTCTGCTGTGTTTGTACCAGTGGCCACAAGGTTAAAAAACCTGTCTTTGCTTTTTGTTTCTGACATCAAAATTCCAGGGTCCAAAGAAAGTCCAACATTCTTTCATTTTATACCCAACAAGGAATATTGGATATGATAATTCGTAAATGGTTACTAGTGATCATTTCTGAATTCCAAGTACAAAATTATTATGAGACTCATTTCTACACCACCTACAAAATTGGCAGCTCATCTGAAAATAACTACATTATTAACAAAATGCAAAATAAAAATAAGCCCCCAAAACCTTCTCTTAAAATATTTTTGCCAATACTTTGCAAATAGAGTGTGAACGAATTAAAATTTTATTAGAAAATGTTTAAAAATCGATGATACAGAGTGTTGAAACTTCAGTTATTAGTCATCTGGGGTAACATACAGAGTATAGGGGGATGTTAGTATTTTGACGTTGGATCTACACTACTCCCATTGTCTTTCAGGAGAAGAGCTGGCTTTGATCATTAGCAGCCATTAAAGTAAGGTAAGGAGCAGTTTAGCAATTTATTTTGGTATAGTGTTGTCTAGTCTGAAGTGCTAAATTTAATCTATTTTCAAAGCCTGACAATCTGGTACCTTTCACGAGCACTAAATTCACTTAAAAAAAAAAAATGGTATGCTGTGATTTCACATACTCTCTACTCTTCAAACAGGCATCACACACAATAATCAGGGAATTTGTGTGATTGGCTAAATTTATCCGCTACAAGAATGTATCAATACCACACTTACAGTGCAACAATAAGAGATCCAAATGAGCCTGATTTTCCCACCCACACACTGCGTGATCCCTTGCTCTCCAAGCAGTCTCTCTGAAATCAAGGGGACCAAGTATGAGAAAAGAACAGGAGTACTTGTGGCATTTTTTGCGGATACAGACTAACACGGCTGCTACTCTGAAACCTGTCAAGTATGAGAACGTTACTACTCTGCACAAGAAAGGGTAGCAGGATCTGGCCCAAAGCAAGACGCTTTAATGTGCAATATTAATGTAAATTATTGGCCTCTCACAAATAACTCGACAAGCAAAATCTGTGTTCTGCATATAGAAAATATCAGATTTTCAATTCAAAGAAATTCCTTGAAGGAATTTTATCGATTGTTAAAAAGCGTTAGAATTTTTATCTGACCACTGATGCTGAGAAAAGAAAGGAGCGTAGCTGCCGTAATTGAACGAGAAAGAGCAATAACGAATTCCCTGGGTTTTTTTGTTGGAATATTGCCATGGTTTAATTCACCTTGTGGAAGCAGAGAAAGAACTGACAGGAAGGGGATGCAATGCATGACAGTTCATTAGCAAGAGTTAGGCTAACT